ATAATAATGAGAGGTCCAAATGCTGAAAGTTTCAGCCTGATCGCAGACACTTTTGTATAAAGTGGGAGATTTCCGGTGGAACTACCCAACTATTTTACCACGTTAAATTTACTTTACAAACTTAGAGGGAAACGAATCGGTGCTACGGGTACACTTCGCTGTGATAGAAAAAACTTTCCAGTTGAGTTGAAGAAGGACGAATATCTTGAGAGAGGTGAACATAAATATCTGGCATCTAATGGAATTTCTATAGTAAAGTGGATGGATAAGAAGGAAGTGTTTGTAGCATCGAATTATTTTGATCCAGAAATGTCAGAAGAAGTCAGTCGAGGAAATAAAGATGAAATCAGAATTCAAATTTCTTGTCCTTTAGCAATAGTTCAGTACAACAAATATATGGGCGGTGTTGATCTTGAGGGTCAGAAGATCAAATATTATACAATCGACAGAATACCAAAAAGAAATTGGATAAGAATCTTTTCTCATTTTCTTGGTATCTCTTTGATAAAATTCATTCATATATTATAAAAATCTTTCTCATGATGGTATAAGGACAGTTGAATACATTTCATCTATTAATACTGCCCTGATAGGTAATTCATCTAGCAGGAAAAGAGCAGGACGCCCTAGAGCTTTGAGTAATCAAAAGAAAATGCGTATCGAAAGCAATGTTAGTGAAACAAAAAACTTCTGAAAAATCAGAATTTTTAGCTCATATGCGCGAGGTTATTTCTACGCGTCGCAGATGTGTGCACTGTAGTACAAAAGGAAACGAGAAAAGAACCAATGTTATATATCCTTTTTGTGGTGTGCCTTTATGTGTAAAAGGTTGTTTTTTGTTCTATCATCAGAAATATGTCTATCAACAATAAATTGAATAAACGTACGAAAAAGCATGCAATTTTCTGTCAGAGCTTAGTCACATATCTTGTAATATCATCTAAATGATTAATATGACACTTTGCTAAACTTACAATTAACAACAAAATTCGGGAATCAAACGGTTAAACCACAAATTAAAATCGGAAGTCGAAGATTTTTTAAATCGACTATCCTATCTGTTTACGAAAAGTAGTTATCGTTAACAGATGCTTTTCATTGTACTTCTCATCAAGCGTTCGTGTTACAAAGAGATGTCGAAACTTCTCTTACCTCACGAAAAACTTCACCGAAGATATTTTATCATCGTCACTCAAGGAGCAACTTTATTTTATTTTGGACAAAAGTATTTAGGAAAATAGTCACTGAGACGATGGTGTATCTCAAAGCACCTCGATAATGACACTTACATCCTTGTTGAGATCAACAGAACAGTACAAAAGTAATGCAAAAAATCAAAAGAATGGATTATATGTGGTATCAGTTAATTAATTTTTATAATGAGATCAAGTTTTCCCTCGATAAGTCTTTACTAAAATTTCCCTAGTTTGAATGTTAGACTAGGGAATTTTTGAATCATTATCGGTAACAATTTGCCGAAATCTCTGCGCATAAGGTTTTCTGACATCAACGATTAGTAGTATATTTATTATCGCTCTTAACATACCGATGCAATTTTTAAGATGAGGGTATAAAATAACTATTTATCTAAATTGATTAGTAACATGGAAAGCGATTACTTATTCGTTCATATGGCTTACCAGATTTATTCATGATAATGATGTCAACTATTTCTTTCGTTTGTCCCGATACTATCTCACATTGAAAGATGATTGAGAAAAAAGGTATTTGGACAATTGTCATTGCTTTGTGTCGTTCATCTTCCGTAGTGTTGCGCATTCTTAGTAATATTCGTATTCTTTCTCGAATCATATCTCTCCTAATTTCCATCATCAACATCGTTTAGATTCCTGAACTTACAATTTTTTTAAGCAAAGCAGCATACGTCTGTTTCACTTTCAGAATATTCCCATGAAAAATAAATAACAACACTTCCTCTATACAATTCATTTCTTCCTCAGTTTCGGCCAAGGAAGGTACTCAATGGCGTTGAAACAGCGAAAGCAACTGTTTGATGTCATTTTAGTGGTCGTATTGTCACAACAGTACCAAGTTGGAGTTTCCGTCTCTTCATCTCATCGATAGTATTAATTATTAATAAAAAGAAATTTTACGCTGATATAAGTTATAGAAAGCAAAGCGAATAAAAAATCAAGAAATGTTTTATCAGAAAATGAATATGAATTGTCAATTACGAAAAAAATAAACCTCCATTAATTAAAATACTCTGTCCTGTAATATAATCTGAATCTTTACTCGCAAGAAACGAAACAACATTTGCAACATCATCAGGTTGTCCAGTACGACCAATTGGAATATTTTTCGCAGAATTCGATGCATTTTCCTCAACCGTTAATCCGCGAAGTTTGGCCANTCGACCTGCAGCATCTATAGTTAACGCTGCACCTGCTGGTAAATACGTGGTATTCAATGATAATGTTGTAACGGTCGAATTATAATTTGTTTTACTAAGCATTGTTGTTTGAAGACCACCGGTATTCATTGTAGTAATGATTTGTTCATCGTTGATAATGTTACATTGATGTATTGAACTCCAACCATTGATTTGATAAATGAATGTGGCAGAATTATTTATAGATGTGCGAAGATACACATCAGCTGCATCCGACGAAGGTGAAATCATTACAATAAAACTACTTGAATAACAAAAAAAATCACTTGTAAATGAAATATCAATAGTAGTAAGTTGATTTGTTATAAAAGAGTATATGTACAACTTGGGATCATATTGTTGTGTATACATAAGTATACCTTGACTATCGCCACGTAAGTAAGAAATTGGTGATGTAACTGGAACTATAATAGATCGAACAAATGAATAGGTATTTGTTTCATAAACATAAATAACATTATCAAGAGGAACATAAATTTCATCATTGACAAAAAATGGCCACCAAGAATTTGATGCTGGTGTTAAATTTCGAATCCATACTGCATTTGACATGACAATTTGCATTGGAATAGATTCATTTAAAGGTGAACTAAAACCTGCATTGCCCGGTTCACCTTTACATACCAAAAATGATATAAGAGTTTGGTAAGGATCAAAAACCATTTGTCCTTGTGTATTACATTCTTCATAGAGATGACATTTTAATAATTGAGAATCAAAAACAGCTGTTCGACAGAAATCGTTATTTTGACAACTGTATATGCATGAATGCAAATCTTCTGCATACACTCCAAAGCCAATTTGATTGATTATATGACTTGCAATATACGAATGTTGGTGATAAATTCTGACTTGAGCAGATCGAATAGGTAATGAAGATAATGTCAATCTACTAATAATGCTATGCACAATGAACAGAACTAAGAGTAACATTATAGTTTAAGTAAAATAAAAACTGGACCTTTTGTGTAATATACGACAAGTTAGAAAGAAATTTAGTTAATTTATGTTAATTTCTTTTTTTAAAACAAGAATATATATTTCATACGAGATCTTTCTGTAATTTTATTTTCAAGTGTAAGAAAAATAATTGTGCTTTATTCTATAAGTGAGCATCCATTATCAGGTGAGTGATTGCATTGTCAACTAAACAGAGAAACTAATTTCGCTTTCTTTCTCAATATGACAATTGATGTAAATATTTTCATCACCTTTCAAAAGCTGCACTTATAACACTCTATTCTTCTGAAAACTCAATGACAATTTTTGAACAAAGTACTGAAGAATTCTACTTTTTCAGATATACAGTGAAGTGCAAAAATGATCGCCAATACATTTTCGTAGTTTTCTTTTTTCCCTCCACTGAAAAGAGAATCATGTCGGAAAAAGTGGTAAACAAATGAAAATGCGTTTGTGTGTGTGTTTCTGTCACAAGTCACAGGTCAAATACCTTTACGCTAATTCAAAGTGTGCAGATATACCCATAGGTCATTATGTCCCGTACAACGAGTTGCACATCAGTCCTCTAGTTCTATGAAAATGGTTTGTTAAAGAATCAGATGAATATTAACCTTTCAGAATTCAGAAACGTTGGATAAGAGTGATTTTGGAGGGCGATGAAGGAACACTGGTCGCTCCAAATATTAAACGATACTTTTAGTAACTTTTTCCGCGATTTTTCATGATAATCATAATGCAACAAAAACTATTCGGGCAGATTTCTTAACCAATAAAGTTGTAAAATAAGCTTGTAGGTAGGATGACTATGGAGCGACAAGTTGCTCTCGATAATATATTCTGATATACAAAAGAAGAAAATCAAACGAATTTGCATTTAGAATTTAGAATTTATAAAGAATCGTACGTCAGTATTTAACGTTCAGTTATGAATAGGGAGACATAGTTGAAGATGACAAAAACGTTTATAACTACTCTAAAGAAGTTATCGTCTCATTTAGATAATTATTGCCATTTGGAGACGTCTGATAAATAAAAAGAATGACAATGGTGATGAAATTTGTTTTTATTGAAACTGTGACAGAAATGGGGATCTTCCTCGAAAAACCATTTCAGAGGACATATTCTTGTCTTTTTTGTATGGAAAACGTTTCTGAAGGTTATTTTATATAAAAGTACTAATTCAATTGATGGTGAAGCGAGTCAGTCTCGATGAACGTTTTTTTTTATTATTAATCTCATATGATCATAGATTGTATAAGGCTTGTTTTGTGAAGACAAATGTAATTCATCTTTGAATTGAATTTAAAAATATTAAAATCTCTTTATTTAATGATATTTCTCATATAAAAATTCTATATTTTTCCTGAGATCATGATGTTCAATGATTATTAAAGTATTTCAATTCCGATTAACATGTCGTCATTAATTATATTCCTGTTTATATGTTACAATGATTTTATCTTCGATTAGCGGAAAATTTGTTCTTTTTCTCAAAGACATTATTCATTCTGCGAAAAATTGTAAAATCTTCTAATCTCCTAAAACAATGAAAACTCAAAAGTTTGTTATTATTTGAATACATAAACTTTCATCCAATAATGACTAACAAACGAATCGTTTTTCTTTGACGACAAGTAAACGTTTTCGATAATTTTCATTCACTTATAGATTGATATTACGATTTTTCTTGATCTATATAAAAGTAAACGATAAGTATAGAAACATTTTGTTTGTGTAAAAATAAAAATGAATGAATGTGCTTAAAGATCATATAAGTATGATTTGAATTGTTATATTACTAAAACAAAGAAGATAAAAATATTTTATCTTATCTTGCGATGTATAAAAGAAGTTATATGAGTTTTACATTCATTTCGGTCGTGGCAGAATGAAATTCATCGATAGTTGGTTAATTGTAATAATTCTGTTAATACAACAAGTGTTAATCGAAGGAAAGAAAGTTTTTGTATCGGAATATGATGCTTATACAAATGATAATCTTGATGATACCAATGGAATTCAAACCAGAGACTGACGGTACGCGGTACCAATACCGTACCGTACCGTCTCGTCTCGAGACGGGACGGTATGGAAAAAATAACGAGCACCGCGAGACGGTACGGTACGGTATTGTTAAGTGGCGGCACGGTACGGTATGCGGTATTAAAGCCTTATACCGCTTTATACCGCGTCTTCAAAATGAACAAAAATCCTCATACATCATTGTTTGTCGGTGACATCTATCTTTTTTGTTTATGGGATTAACATTTAGATATACATTGTACTATGTAAATAAAGATAAGAATAGAAACAACAAGTATCAATTACCGTCCAACTCTTTCTTTTCGTCCTTTTAATACTATGTTTTTAAATGGAAATTCATTTGCAATGGATGTCAATACAACCGAACCCGATCTATTGACCGTGGAAACTTCTCCTACTCTTGATCAATCGTCGTCGTTAAGTTCTCCAGATCTACAAGACACGTTATCTGCGGCCCAACATTCTTCATCTACAGTATCATCAAGTGAAAAATACACGCGTGAAAAAATTCAGCATTCATTAAAATACAACAAAACTAAATACGTTGTTCTCAGCAATTCGAACAATAAAAAATCGTCTGACTGCTGGCGTTTATTTGGTTTTCCAGCAAAGCGCGATTCAAGTGATATTCCTCGGAAAATTGAAGGTTTTGTTTCATGCAGAAACTGCTTTGCGACCTATTCGTATGTTTCCAACAGCACTACTTTTCTGAAAAAGCATCATTGTGATTCTCCTCGTCAACAAACCAAATCTACACCTTTGTCTTCATCTCGTAGCTCAACTACTTCCTCTCAACCTTTGATCACTGGATATGGACATCCAAAATCTATCCGTCTGACAGATAGCCATTCAAGAGAAATGAAAGACTTATTGGTTCGATGGGTTTGCCAGGACATGCGACCTTTCGCCGTAGTCGATGACGTTGGTTTTCGTGAATTTTCACAACGCTGCATATCAATCGGTAACTTCAGCTTTTGTTGATAAGAGTTAATATCCTTTTCGATATATTTTCTTTGAACATATACTGTAATTTATAAAAATAGCTTTGCCTTTCAACATATGAAGAAATTTTATTCATAGTAAAATATCTTTTCTCGTAGATTTTTAAAAACCAGTTTCATACAGGACATCTGGTGGATCTTTAGTGTTAAGAGAAAAAGAAGCACAGACATCTTTAACACGATTAATCAGATGATACTAAGGTCTTTTGATTTGTTTTTCAGGTGCTCAATACGGAAATATCGATGTCAATCAAGTCCTTCGTTCTGCTCATACCATATCTTCCCGCACTCATGAATTAGCCGACAAAGAACGATCTCGATTGAAAGAACTTCTAGCTGATGCTTTGCAAAACGGTTCACTTTGTTTATGTCCTGATCTGTGGACCGACAGCAATCAACAGTGTTCGTATTTGGGCATTTCTGCTTCTTTTGTCGATGATAAATATCAATTGCACAGCATCGATTTGTGCTGTCATCCATTTCCGAACGTCAAAAAAACTGCGGAAAATATCTTTATGGTAAGTATAAAAATGAGAATATAAGAACCTTGATCATTTTTAAATAGGAAATGGGAAAAGCATTAGAACGTTTCGACATTTTTGATCTGACTCAAGTAACATTTGTTTCTGATCGAGGTGCTAATTTTGTCAAAGCATTACAACATTTTCAAGCATACTCATGTACCGCTCACCGCCTCAATAATATTGTAAAACGTTGTTTCTTCATAAATGAGGCGAAGAAGAACGAGGAAGACTCTACTAGCACTGAAGTTTCCTTTGATGATAATGGACCCGATGAAGAAGATGTTGACGCACTGATCGATATCAATTCGTTGAGCGATGTTCCGAAAAAGGCTTTATACATTCTTCAAAACGTGATCGAATGCAAAAAACTCGTGAAATATGTCAAACAAGTAAGTATCCACCGTTGTTTCTCGGTCAACAACCATTATCATTAGTAGAAAAAAACTAATAGCATTGGCCAATCTTTGTTTAGTCTGGAATTAACAAAGAGATTAAAGAATCCGGTGGCATTAGTCTTAAACAATCAACTGCTGTGCGATGGCTTTCGTTTGTGAACCTTCTCGAATCTATTGATCGATCGTTTTTGGCTATTAAAAAGGTTCTTGCGAATAAGAAAAAGACTTTTGCGATACAATTGGACGTTGTGCAAGGGTTGGTTCGACTTCTACTGCCTTTTAAAGAACTAATCATTAAACTTCAAACTGGCAAAATGCCATCCTTGCATTATGTTCTCATTGGAATTGGCACTCTTCAATCAGCTTTATCGTCTTTCGACTCTTTATTAGAATATGAGAAGAAGAACAAAAAGTATTCATGTAAAGAGGACCTTTGTTCATTAGATGGTGATGAACCGCGTTTATCCGATGAAGATGAAGGTAATTTATCTAGTTTTATTATGTTATCTCTCGATTGTCTTTTTGTCGATTAACAGTAAAGGAAGAGGGAGAGGAATCATTTCCTTCAATCTGTCCCATTGTTCTAAAATGCGCGAAAATTATCTTGATCTTTTATTATAGGTCTTCGTTTCTTTCGTCTACGTCTATTACATTTAATTAAAGAAATGTTCAAATTCCAACAAATTCATTATGCCTCGAACATGCTTCATCCTAAATATCGACACCTGAAGAAAACTGGTAGTCATGATAAACATTCATGTAAATCATTTATCCGTCAAATGATGAGGAAGATTGTCGATCAAGAAAAATCAACTTTAACTTCTTCATCATGTTCTTCAAGCAATAATCTTTATGAACCATCTCCAAAGAAGATAAAACACTTTGGTGAAGATTATGAGACTGGAAACATGAGCGATGAATATGAAGAAGATAATGATGAACTAGAAAGGTTTCTCGCTAAACGTTTGAATATCTTGGATCTTCCTGATAATCCACTTGATTTTTGGCGTAACCATAGGATGGAATTTCCCATCTTAGCTAAAGTGTCTCGTCAAGTATTCAGTATCCCAGCCACATCAGCAGCGGTCGAAAGGACATTCAGCGCAGGTGGAAATGTTGTTACCAAACGTCGAACTAATATCAAGCCGGAGCAGTTGAATAACGTTCTTTTTTTACGATCTTACTATTCACGTTGAACTTCTAGCGCCTATCACAGGTATTTTATTTATGTTTATTTGAAAAACGATATCAGTACAAAGTGTTTTTTTGTACAATCGTTGTTTCTCTTGTTATTATTTTTATACATTAATTGAAACGATTAATCTATGGACGAAATAAAACAGATTGTAGTACCTTTGAAAATTTTGAAAGAATTCTTGGCGGTACGGTATTTCACGAGACGGTATACCGCGAAGCTCGTGCGGTACGGTACGATACGGTATTCAAGTACGAATTTGTATGGCGGTACGGTACGATATAAATCCCATTGGAGCGGTACGCGGTACTATGCGGTACTGAATTTTTCTAATACCGTCAGTCCCTGATTCAAACAGCAATCAATGAAGCGATAAGAAATGATTATAGAAATGATATTATTTTTGGATTTGGTATCTATATAATATCATCGACAATTATTATACAAAATGCAGTTAATTTAACAATAGTGGGAGAAGGAATAAATGAAACATTTCTCATTGGTTATAATGAAATAATCATATTTACAGTACAAAACTGTCAAGAATTAAAGTTAACTTCATTTTCAATTGATTATAAGCCATTTCCTTTTACTGCTGGATATGTTGTAAATGTTGATGATACATTTTTAGATGTATAAGTTATTCCACCTCATCAAACTGATATTGATCAACAAGTTCATACTGTTTTTCGATATGATCCCATACAAAAAAGACCTTCTTTTGGATCTAATACATATGAGATATATCAAATACCACCAACCGATAGAAATACTACTATTGTTGAACCAGGAGTCATACATTTACCATTGAGTTCACCAACACGATTTCGTCAAGGAGATGCAGTTGTTGTTCGATATACTTTTCGTGGTGCTGCAATTTATGGGGAAAATTCAACTGATCTTTCTGTCGAATCAATTACAATTTATACATCATGGGGTATGGGTTTTGTTACTTTCCGAATAAGACGTTTACAAATAAAGAATTATCATGTTCTACCTCGTGATAATCGTTGGATGAGTACAATTGTTGATTGTATGCATTTTATTGATACGAGAGAATATATTTCAATCATTGATAGTGAATGTTATGGAATGGGTGATGATGGTTTAAATGTCCATGCTGTTTTCTTTCTTGTTACGAAAATTATTGATACGCATACAATTATTATTGAAATAAAAAGTCTGGACACATTTATAAATTTTGATATCGGAACAAATTTAGAATTTAGTAGTAATCAAAAACCATTTGTTGTATATGGAAATGGATTAGTTACATCGATTTCATCTACGAATTCAAGTAATTCAAGGAAAATTTCTTTTAGAAATCCAGTTAATGTTAGTGTTAATGATTGGGCATGTATTGCTGATACACCTTTACTTACAATACGAAATTTGACAGTAGCGAATAATCGTGCTCGTGGTGTTCTTTTAGAAACACGTAATATTGATATAAGACAATCATTATTCTATCGTACTAGTGGACCTGCTATTCTAATTCAACCATCATTGTATTGGTATGAGGGTCCTGAGGCTCGAAATGTTTCATTAATTGAGAATATTTATATGGAAAATAATGAAGGTCTTACACAAACAAAAGGTGTTATAACTATTGTACCTAGTCCAATTAGTTTAGTTCCTGTCATTAATGATATTCGGATTGCATCATCATCATTCTATCTTGGATCATCAAGTCAAGGACTTTTGCAAAGTGATAATATGAATAATCTATATCTGATAGACAATTATATTGCCACAAATATGTCAACACCACTCATAAGTATTTGTAATAGTCGAAATATATCAGCAACAAATAATTGTGTTGTAAATAAACAAACAAAAATTACAGAATATTATACATTTGATCAAAGAAATCCTTGTTCAATGAATTTAAGTAGTTTGATTAATTTACCATCATCAGCATTTAATGCATCATTTCCACCACCTGTTCTAATCGATAAGAATTTATCAGTTTAAAATCAAATTGGATCGACAAAATCATTCCATACAATTCAATCAAGTATTGTAACAGATTGATGAACACTGAAATAAATTATTTCGTTACAAATAATTTTAGACATAAACATAACGATACTTTACCATTCTTTACTCTCATCGAATCCTTGTTGCGACATGTTTCAATAATTGTCGTTAGCAGTTCGAACACTTACGATTGTACTATTTTGATTTTCTATAGATGATCTCATATAAAAAGTAAATCTTATTGGAGAAATAACTGTATTATTTAAATGGATCTGATGTTCGATTTTTCACTACTTGCAATATCTTCAATTATTTTCATTTGATACAACGTGAATAACTCTGTCGAACAAGTGAATTTGAAGACACTAAAACCCACGAGAAATCGTGAGTAGGTCTTTGTTAACATTTTCGAAAGTTTTGAATGATTTCCTTGAAATCGGTTGAATTTCTTTCGAACATCTACATTCTAGTGATGATTATAATCAGAGAACATTTGCTGAATATATAATGTAACAGCTACTATATGTGAATAAATTATGTGAATATTCTTTGTATTTGTATTTTCAAAATTTTATTTTATTTTTTTTCTTGTAGAGAAAAATTACAGGTTATATGATAGATTATATTTATAATTTTAATTGTGTCTGTCTTTCCCTATGAAAGATATTTGTATTTAGCATTCTCATGAACCTATATCATCGAGGGCAACATCGTTTCCAGCACTGCTAGTACAGCCTGGCCACGGAGTAAGGGGATTCCGTCACGTTGTTTTGAATGTATAGAAAACTATTTTCACTTGTCTGATACCAGATTTTGTTAGGTACAATGAACTGTATAAAAGTATAGGACCATTGAACCTTATGAATGCGCTCCTCGTAAATCATTCAATGAATATAGTCTGATGGAATCACGTTTTAGGTGGACAGGCTCTGTAGCTTCTTATATTGGTCGAAAAGAGAGAAATAGATTAACTCTTGAAAATCTTTGTACTTTAGTTGTCTTAAAAGACAAGATAAACGAACAAATGACATAGTAAATACAGTACAGAATTAGATTTTCGTATGTCTTTTTGCTTCTTAGTTTCTGTTCGTAATGCTCATCAACTTCTTTGTGTATATTTTTTATATAACTTTTCATGTATTATTTACAATTGTTCAACAGAAAAATATTATTTTTATTTTTATTAACTTGGCTATCTCGCACTAAATTTGATGCGCACTTTTCATAGTACTTTAAAATTGATTAAAGAATAAATCATAGGCAAAAATCATTGTCCGCTGAACTATGACCATCAGATAAATGTATCTGAAATGGTCACGTAACTTAAACACTGTGGAATATTTTGACATCTATACAGTAATTCATAATGACAATAGATGAATGAAGAGTAATGCTTCCTAGAATTTTTTTCAAAAATAGAGTAGTATCCGATCGGGTGTAAAATAACTGTTTATCTAAATTGATTAATAACAGAGAAAGCAAATACTTTCCGTTTACATGGCTTTCCAGATTTATTCATGATAAGGATGTCAACTATTTCTTTCGTTTGTCTCAACACTGTCACACATTTTGAAAGATGGGTGAGAAAAAAAGCATTTGGACAATTGTCATTGCTTTGTGTCGTTCATCTTCCGTAGTGTTGCGCATTCTTAGTAATATTCTTATTCTTTCTCGAATCATATCTCTCCTAATTTTCATCATCAGTATCGTTTAGATTCCTGAACTTACAATTCTTTTTTGGATCAAAGCAACATACATCTGTTTCACCGTCAGAATGTTCCCATGAAAAATAAATAACAACACTTCCTCTATACAATTCATTTCTCGCGCAGTTTTGATCAAGGAAGGTACTCAATGGCGTTGAAACAGCGAAAGCAACTGTTTGATGTGATTTTAGTGGTCGTATTGTCACAACAGTACCAAGTTGGAGTTTCCGTCTCTTCATCTCATCGATAGTATTAATTATTAAAAAAAGAAATTTCAATTATGAAAAAGATAAACCTCCATTAATTAAAATACTCTGTCCTGTAATATAATCTGAATCTTTACTCGCAAGAAACGAAACAACATTTGCAACATCATCAGGTTGTCCAGTACGACCAATTGGAATATTTTTCACAGAATTTGATTCGTTTTCCTCAACCGTTAATCCGCGAAGTTTGGCCAATTCTTCATTACATGTTTGAGTCATTCGTGTATCAATCCGCCCTATTGAAAAATTATTTGAATTCGACAAATTTCAAAAGGTGAATTTGATTTACCAGGACAATAAGCATTAACTGTAATATTATGCCGAGCCCATTCTTGAGCAGCTGCTTGTGTTAAACCTCTCACACCCCATTTCGTAGCTGAATAATGGCTGATCATTGGATATCCTCTATATCCAGCGGTACTACAAGCACCAATGATTTTTCCGCCTTTGCCTTGTTTAATCATGATTTTCGCTGCTTCACGATAACACAGAAATACGCCACGCATATTAACTGCAAAAACTTCATCCCATTCGTCTGCACTTATCTCCAACAATGATTTGACATAACAAATTCCTGCATTTGCAATGACTACCTGTTCATTCAACAGAAACGATAGAAATTGTTTGAACAATGACAAAAATAAATATTTACATCGAGACTTCCAAGTTTTTCAACAACTTCTTCCATCATTTCTTCGACTTTTTCACTTTTGGACACATCAGCGATAATCGCAATTGACTTTCGACCCATTGATTCGATTTCTTGTCGAACTTTTTCCAGATCAGAATGGTTACTTTCGATATCATTAACAGCGACATCGAAGCCATCTTTTGCGAGACGAAGAGCAATTGCACGTCCAATACCTCGAGATGAACCAGTTACCACAGCTGCACGATTCATTTTTGAAAACTATTAAATATTTTTATCAACGAAAGGCAGTTTGACGATGGAGAATAAGATAAAAGAACATGATCTTATCAGCAAATAGAGAACAACTTCAATGATGAGGTATATGTTGATCTTTTTGATAAGAAAAATCAAAGTCACAAAAACAAGTTGAATTTAAATTCAAAACTGTTTGAAAACTATGCGAATAAGTAGAAACGATACGTTCATCTCAGAAAATCTAAATGTTATTTTATTACTCCCGTCCATTAACACACTTAGATGACGAACTTCCATGAGCCGCAATTGATTGACTTCGCTCACTTGTTTGTGCCTTTACGGCCGAATGTTGCCGAAAAGCTACATGTTGACATTCTGTTATTCAAGTGTGCTGATTCAGTCATCTTATAGGTCCAATAAATAATGCAATTTGATACGAAAATTAGCCATTAATTACCTCGCGCACGGAATACTTTGATAAATGATAAACAGGCAATTTCTATTGGAAGGCGGTTTTGAGATGTCTTGCGAAATTTATCCTGTTTGTCAATGATAGGCTGTTCCTTTGTTACAAACGCACAGATTTGTTTTAAAATACATGTAATTAATTGTCAAAGACCTTAAAAAACTGCATGTTGTCGTTTTCAGATAAGTTTGAGGCTGCTACTCATCGTGCAACAATGACACATAAAATACGAACATTTTTTACTTTTCCATTAGTTGATTATAAATGTTGATTAAAACTTATTTGTTCATGGGCATTTCCAAATTTATTTCCACCTGAATGGAATGATCCAAACTCTATCCAGGAATTTCCAACGACAATATATTTTGTTTTGGAAATGGAGAAAAAGAACAACAGTATTCGATACTGTACTTGAATATATCAAAACCATTTGAAGATATTAACTAAACAACTCCGTCAAGTTCAAATCTTCGCTCAATGAGCACATACAAGTTTTTCAGATATTTGTACTATAGTATCTCTAACATTGTTTATTTGAACTAATATTTTATCTTATTTACATCAGATAGCGCTCATCGTTCGAATTGACACACTCCTTTCATTTCTATTTAATCCCTATAAGTATCCAAAAATAAATAAACAAACCTTTTTTAATACCAGTTGAGGTCCTCATCCTTATGACTACGATTTTCATGAATATAATCTATAAACATATCACTAATGTATCTGAATTGGCGAGCTTTCAATCGTCTCAACCTATTGAACATGGAGTGTACACGAATTCATTTAAACGTCTTTTCACAATTAATCATAATGATTAGATTCTTTTTTAATTATACGATCAATCAATTATTAGAAGAAAACGGTACGTTACAAAATCTTTTATCTTCGGTATATATTCCTTATATTTTCGTTTATTATCGTTGTTAAAACTATTCGATATAAGAATTACTGACAGAAAACTGCGATTAACGATTCAGAGGTATCAATGTTAAATTAATGTGGATATTTTTTTGAAATCGACGTCCATGTAGCATAACGTTTATTATCAAAATCTTTTCTATCTTTTCCAGTTTCAAATTCTTCCAGTTGAGCTTTTGGATCAGTTGGTCTTCCAACTTGTAAAACATTATCGTCAAACCACTTATGTGTAATGAGAAGAGGTTGTTTATTCCAATAAACGTCACAACCAAAATGAGGTTTTTGATTTAATTTTTCATTACGTAAATCAGCGTTAATTATAAATCTCATTATCCATTTGGTTCCATTACCAGTTTGTCCTTCAAAAATATTTTCAACTTCAACTACTTGATTTGAAGGACTATTAACATAAAGATGAAAATTATTTGTTGGACCTGATCTTCGTAAAATTTCACTCATCCATGTTCTCGCATCACCTGGTGCATCACCACCTTGTCTATTTTCAACACATCTTATCATATCTTGAACAACTTTTTCATTTGCATCTTTAAGACTACTTGCATTTTCGTCAGACATTTTCTTTTCTGGCCTAGATGAAGATCATGTAAAAAATATCTGACGTCAAGTACAATTCTGCACTAATCAAATTCGTGCTAAAGAAAAAGAACATTTCTATATCACTGGTTAACGCCATCTATCTTTCTTGATATACTCGAGTCTTTGATCAAAGAAATATTTCATAAATAGGATGCTTTTTCCTTTTCTCAATAGATTAAATGATGATTATCTGTTTTCTGGTGCTATAGCTTCACACTGATTGCTTCATTTTTTTCAGTTTCTATCAAATATTTTATGAATACCATTACCATGGACGAAAAGAACTGTTTTGATATAAATTATGTGGAGTAGACAGTCTATCTCACACGTTATTCCCGTGCTAAACAATAAACAAGTTTCTCGTTGTCTCTCGGATATCGATTTTTTCCCAACCATTTTGCGAGTTATCCTTCTCCACTCTTAATCATTTAAAGATTGATGGCGATTTTAACAATTAGTTGTAAAGTTTTAGGCTGTGACTGAAAGAGCTATTCGGAATGGAAAGACATTCAAGAAAAGAATCTTTTGATTGAATTTCGTGCTGTTAAAGATGATACGTTTGCTTCATTCATTAAGACAAATAAATCTGATGTATTAATATGGTAGAGCCGTGTTAATGCCAGCTACTTATCGTTCATTTCAAGGATGAAAGACGTTTTTCGTTGAAATTGCCTTTAACATTGCACTGAAGCGATAGATACGGTCCGTCCAAAAGTATTGTTCGATTTTGAAAAATCTGCTACTGGTGTTCGAAAACATAAATAATCAAGTCAAGAGAAACAATACATTTACATTTCAAAAGTAAAAATGTCAATAGTTGACACTGCATGGCGTGAACGTGATCTTTCATTTGTGGTTGTGGTTGGTTTTCTTCCATTTTCCTCTTACAACTTGTTTTTCACTTTGTTTCAAGACCGTTATATCGCTCCTGTTAATACTTGTTAATTATACTGAAATGAATACATAATGTCATCTACAGCTCCTGTAGAATTCATTTTTTGAGTATTATGGATGAGTGAAGAGTAGAAACAGAAGTCTGAAACATTCGATTTGGAATTATTACAAAATATGCAAATAATTTTCAATGTTTGCACAGAATGTTTAGCTGAACTTTCAAAATCTATTACTAATGATGAAAAAACAATTGAAGATCATAGAAATATTGAACGTATTATATCTAAATTGAAACAGTTGCAAAATTCGTTGGGTAATCTATGGGCAAGAATGATCACGTGTTTTGGTAGAGATTCAGTTGATGTTGGTTTATACCACGTTGAAGCAGACGAGTATTTTCACCCAACTCTATTTTATCCAAATGTTCCTTATTTAGTGAAATTCTATCAATGGTCAGTTTACGATGTGAGTCGAAAAATTGTTTGCTGTTATTTGCTCGAGACAACTACACTTCCAAATAGACCGCCAAATTATTTTCTCGCTCTTCTAATCATCAGGTCATAAAATACAAATTATGAGTCTCAAGTCGATTCAGTTGTTGTTCTCGATATTCGTTTCTTTATTTGTTTTGTTGTTGCAGACAGATTTAATTATGAATATGTCGTTGAAATAAAAAGAAAATAAGTATTGATTATAAAGTTAACGAAATCATATCAATGCAATTTTTACTCTTATTATTACGAAAAAGTACATTGAAACATAATATGGTTTCTTAGGAATACATTTTGTAATGATTCTAATACAAAGGAAAGCCACGTGAAAGAAAGAAACACCAATTCAACATTCTTTTCAAGTATAATCGGACAAAGCTCAATATATCCCTGATTAAGTGATTGCACAATCATGGAGAACAAAGTCTTTCAACATCAACAGACAATTGCCCAAGTGAGACAAAATGAAGATACTTCAAATAGCAACGATATTTTAATCAATAGTGAGTCAACCAATTCCGAAAGTAGAAGGTAAGTTTTTATACTAATAACATTAAACTATAAAGGCAAGAGTATTTTCTTTAGATATCGTTCACTTTCAAGACTCATTAGTTGGTGTTCGCCGACATCATCATGCTTTCTATGTTTAGTCATAGGTCTTCTTACTGGTGGTTTAATTCTATCTGTGGTTATCTCACTTTGGTTGACATTAAATAACAAAACAGCAACAACAATCGGTAAATCTTCCACTCATACGTAATCCGAGAATTTTCGAAATTGTTATCACATATCTACCTACATATACTTAATTACTTATCATTCTCGCCCAAATCGATAACTGTTTGACTTACGTATTCTTCTTTTGAACAAGTTGTTTGATCTGATAAGACTAAATTATTATAGAAGGAATATCAACTAATACAACGATCACAACTAACAGCGTCAGTACAACAAGTACATCAACGATTGGCACGACCAGTAGCAGTAGCTCAACAAGTACTACAAGTAGGTACTACTGACATTTCAACTATATCAATTATAGAGATACAGAAGTTTCTTCCTTTCGCACAAAAGAAAACATACGCAAATAGTTCTTATTGATTGACGACGAATATGGAGAGAATTTTAATATGCATATTCACGAATAACATCGACGAGAACTCTTATGTCAACGCTTATCTAACTTCTCGTTCTTGTCCTCAAAATAGCTCTGATTCTTTTTGCATACGTGTATTCTTTATTAAGGTACAACGACTCCTAGTTTTTGTGCTGCTACTTGTACTGGTACTTTTAACTCTAATGGTGCTACTTCTTGTAATACAATGTGTAATGATAAAAATGGTAATCATTATACTTGCTCCAGTAATTCTACTATTTGTCCTAATGCTGAAAGTTCTTATTATTATTACGGTATTATTCCTACTAATATCACTAATAGTACCAATGTTATGGGTTATAATAGCTATTGTAATAGTGCTTTTGCCGGTAGTTATCTCAATAATGGTTATAATCCTTGTTATGGTGGTACTAACAGTTACTATAATGGTAGTCACTATTCCGAGCTTATTCCTAGTAATGCTTGCTGTGTTTATGATGTTTATTTGCGTGACTATTATTGTATACAGTATCCGTGTGTTGTCTCCGGCTAATATATTAGTAAGTAAAGGAACTTGAAACTATGTTAATGTTTTCATTTTCACTTTCTAGAAAATATTCAATCAAACTAATCGTTNCAATGTTAAATTAATGTGGATATTTTTTTGAAATCGACGTCCATGTAGCATAACGTTTATTATCAAAATCTTTTCTATCATTGCCAGTTTCAAATTCTTCCAGTTGAGCTCTTGGATCAGTTGGTCTTCCAACTTGTAAAACATTATCTTTAAACCACTTATGTGTAATAAGAAGAGGTTGTTTATTCCAATAAACGTCACAACCAAAATGAGGTTTTTGATTTAATTTTTCATTACGTAAATCAGCATTAATTATAAATCTCATTATCCATTTGGTTCCATCACCAGTTTGTCCTTCAAAAATATTTTCAACTTCAACTACTTGATTTGAAGAACCATTAACATAAAGATGAAAATTATTTGTTGGACCTGATTTTTTAAAAATTTCACTCATCCATGTTTTCGCATCACCTGGTGCATCACCACGTTGCCTATTTTCAACACATCTTATCATATCTTCAATAACTTTTTCATTTGCATCTTTAAGACTACTTGCATCTTCGTCAGACATTTTGTTTTCTGGCCTAGATAAAGATCATATGAAAAAATATCTGACGTCAAGTACGATTCTGTACTAATCAAATTGGTGCTAGAGAAAAAGAAAATTTTTATATCACTGGCTAACCCCATTTATCTTTCTTGATATACTTGTGTCTTTGACCAAAGGAATAGTTCTTAAATAGGATTATTTTCCCTTTTCTCAATAGATTAAATGATGATTATCTGTTTTTTGGTGCTAGCTTCACACTCATTGTTCCATTTTTCTCAGTTTCTACCAAATATTTCATAAATACCACTATCATGAGCGAAAAGAACTGGTTTGATATAAACTATGTGGAGTAGACAGTCTATCTCACACTTTATTCTCGTGCTAAACAATAAGCAAGTTTCTCGTTGTCTCTCAGATATCGATTTTTCCCAACCATTCTTGTGAGTTATCCTTTCCCACTCTTAACCATTTAAAGTTTGATCGCGAGTTTAGCAATTAGTTGTAAAGTTATAGACAGTGACTGAAAGAGTTATTCGGAATGAAAAGACATTCAAGCAAAGAATATTTGGATTAAATTTCGTGCTGTCAAAGATGATACGTTTGCTTCATTCATTAAGACAAATAAACTTGATGCATTAATACAGTAGAGCCGTGTTAATATTCAGCTACTTATCGTACATTTCAAGGATGGGAGATATTTTTCGTTGAAATTGCCTTTAATATTGTGCTGAAGCGATAGATACGGTCCGTCCAAAAGTATTGTTCGTTTTCGAAAAACTTGCTACTGATGTTTGATTAAGGAAAACATAAATAGTCAAGTCAAGAGAAACAATACCTTTACATACATACAAACGATTGTTCAAAAGATGATACTACATAGCGTGAACGTAATCTTTTATTTGTGGTTGGTTTTCTTCTCTTTTCCTCTTATAACTTGCTTTTCATTCCGTTTCAAGATCGTTATATCGCGCCTGTTAATACTTGTTAATTATACTGAAATAGATACATAATGTCGCCTACAGCTCCTGTAGAATTCCTTTTGAGTATTATGAATGAAGAATTGAAACAGAAATTTGAAACATTCAATGTGGAATTATTACAAAATATACAAATAGTTTTCAATGTTTGCACAGAATATTTAACTGAACTTTCAAAATCTGTTACTAATGATGAACAAATAATTGGCGATCATAGAAATATTGAACGTATTATATCCAAATTGAAACAACTGCAAAATTCGTTGGGTAATCTATGACCAAGAGTGATCACGTGTTTTGGTAGAGATTCAGTTGATATTGGTTTATACCACATTGAAGCAGACGAGTATTTTCATTCAACTCTATTTTATCCAAATGTTCCTTATTTAGTAAAATTCTATCAACGGTCAGTTTTCGATGTGAATCGAAAAATTGTTTGCTGTTATTTTCTCGAGGCAACTACACTTTCAAATAGGGTATCAAACTATGTTCTAGGAAAAGTATTATCAAATTCGCATTCTCAAATTGGTTGGTATTTGTCACCAATGCCAAATTATTATCAAACGAGAATGGATGTTATTAACGATTTAAATAACCATCGGGTTCTTAATCAGTAGTTACAGCATAATAATATCATCGTACAAATCTCAATTCAAACTTGAAGAGTTTTAGGACAAGTCTCTTTCTTTTCTCATTATCCTAATCATTAGGGCATAAAATACAAATTATGAGTCTCACGTCGATTCTTTTTGTTCTCGATATTCGTTTTTTTTATTTGTTTTGTTATTGCAGACTGAGTCTGCAATAACCAGGCTTCGTAGTCGTCCTATATTTCCTATAATTCCTATATTTAAAAAAATCCACCTATATCTCGATGAATTTTCCTATATTTCCTATATATGTATTACAAAAAAATGAAGGAAAACTCCGGTAGGGGTACGGACTTGCTTTTTTCTGGCTAAAACATGATTTTATGTATGTTCAATATAGTCAATAAAAATCCTATGAGAATTTTTGCGAAAAATTCTGTGCATTATTATATTTTCCTGAAGTGCCGCTACGAAGCCTGCTCATGAAATGAAGTGATTTCAAGTTTTTTTTATATGGATTTGGTTATGGTTATCTCTTATACTGTTTGTTGTGAACGTATATAGTCGATCTCCTTTAATAAAGGAAACACAGGCATAATTGCACTTTTTTCTTTAGAATCGTTATCGTTAAAAGACTTATTCAGAAAATGACTCAAAGCTTTTTTTCTATTCTCTGGAACGCAAAAACCAAACATCTATACGATTTCAAAAGCAACGATGTTCAGAAAAAGTTTCTCAAGCTGTTTTTAGCAAAAAAAGCATCGTCCTATATAATGCTATATTTTTAAGAGAGGCCGCTACGAAGCCTGACAGACTGATTCAATTGTGAATACATCGTTGAAATAAAAACAAAATAAATATTGATTATAAAGTAAAAAAATCATATCAATGTCATTTTTACTCTCATTATTACGAAAAAGTCATTACATTGAAACATAATAAGGTTTCTTAGGAATACATTTTGTAATGATTTCAATATAAAGGTAAGCCATGTGATAGAAAGAAGCACCAATTCAACATTCTTTTAAAGTATAATCGGACAAAGCTCAATATATCCCTGATTAAGTAATTGCACAATCATGGAGAACAAAGTCTTTCAACATCAACAGACAATTGCCCAAATGAGACAAAATGATGATACTTCAAATAGCAACGATATTTTTATCAATAGTGAGTCAACCAATTCGGAAAATAGAAGGTTAGTTTTTATACTTATAATATTAAACTATAAAGGCAAGAGTATTTTCTTTAGATATCGTTCACTTTCAAGTTTCATTAGTTGGTGTTCGCCGATATCATCATGCCTTCCTTGTTTAGTCATAGGTCTCCTTACTGGTGGTTTAATCCTATCTGTGGTTATCTCACTTTGGTTGACATCAAATAATAAAACAGCAACAACAATCGGTAAATCTTCCGCTTATACGTAATTCTAGACTTTTTGAAATGCCTATAACATATCTACCTACCTATATTAAAAAAAACACATGTGACAGCTTCAATCGAGACATTTCATAAAAATCTGTAAACTATAAATCGTAACTTTCTACAAATAAAAACAACGACATCGAATTTAATGAAATGTTGCTGTCAAAGCTCTGACTAGATTACTTATCATTCTCAACCAAATCGATAGCTGTTTGACTTACGTATACTTCTTTTGAACAAGTTGTTTAAACTGATAAGTTTAAATTATTGTAGAAGGAATATCAACTAATACAACAATCACAACTAACAGCATCAGTACAACAAGTACATCAACGATTGACACGACCAGTAGCACTAGCTCAACAAGTACTACAAGTAAGTACTACTGACACTTCAACTATATCAATTATAGAGATATAGAAGTTTCTTCCTTTCGCACAAAAAGAAATTTAAGATGTTAAGATCTTCATCAGAAAACATACACAAATAGTTCTATTGATTGTCGAACGATATCGGTAGAATAACATGCATATTCACGAATGACATCGACGAGAACTCTTATGCCAACGCTCATCTAACTTCTCGTCCTTGTCCTTAAAATAGCTCTGATTCTTTTTGTATACGTGTATTCTTTATTGAGGTACAACGGCTACAACGACTTCTAGTTTTTGTGCTGCTACTTGTACTGGTACTTTTAACTCTAATGGTGCTACTTCTTGTAATACAATGTGTAATGATAAAGATGGTAATCATTATACTTGCTCTGGTAATTCTACTATTTGTCCTAATGCTGAAAGTTCTTATTATTATTACGGCGTTATTCCTACTAATATTACTAATAGTACCAATGTTATGGGTTATAATAGTTATTGTAATAGTGCTTATGCTAATAGTTATCGCAATAATGGTTATAATCCTTGTTATGGTGGTACTAATAGTTACTATAACGGTAGTCATTATTCCGATCTTATTCCTAGTAATGCTTGCTGCGTTTATGATGTTTATTTGCGTGATTATTATTGTATACAGTATCCATGTGTCATTTCCGGCTAGTATATTAGTAAGTAAACAAACTAGAAACTATGTTAATGTTTCCATTTTTGCTTTGTAGAAGATATTCAATCGAATTAATCGTTGCACTAAACAAGTATTATCAAAGTGCTTCATTGAACATTTTCTGCACTCTAGCTAGATTTCTTTTGCACATCCAAAAAACAGACTCGTCTTTAGTCTTTGAATAAAAGATAAAACCATGTAATANGCATTTGATATGTTGTGTATGGTTGTGATGTTGTTCGATTGAAGTGGTCCTAGTGATTATTGTATTGCGTCATCGTTTCTTTCTTCTTATTGCATATTGTATTGCTAATATAAAATTGAGGTTTTTTATGCCTCTCCAAAAAGAGTAGGAAAAATTCAGTATTTTGTTTTCGAAAGTTACTAAATATATCTGCGCAAAACATTTGAATTGTTTCTTCATGTATGAAAAATTGTTAGATCAATTTGTGCCACATTGTGGACACGAAAAAAAACCTGTCCTTCACAGTCGAGGGTCAAGTGAGTCGGCACGGCGAGCGCTAGTTATGTTTTTTGTTTTATCACCTATTATTTTTTTATTAATTTTCTATGCGACATCACACTGTCTTCCATTGTAAAATTTACGAGAATAGTCCGTAAAATATATATTAACATCCATAAATCAAATTTAATTTAATTTCAAGCAATAGAAAAATATATCAAACTGAATTGTATAGCCGACAAGTCAGATCAGACGAATGCAAATATTTGCTATATGAACAAAATTACGCAAAACAGGGCATTGACTTTTCTCATTCTCTCGGCTGAATCAGTAACTCAAGATATAATAATCTTTATGTGCATTTTACATAAAAACACGGAAATATCTGGAATACAACAATCGTATTTAGTGTGAGGTCACTATCGAATTCAATATATTTAACCAAAAAACTAAATTCTGCTGATTCAAAATGAAATTATTCGAAATCATAAGCCGTCTGATGAGTCTTCTTTGAGCAAAATTGTGTATATACACACAGTCGATATAAAACTCATCATAACGCAGTCCTACGCATCGTCAAATACTCCACCCCTTGAAAAGAATGAGAAGCATCGAAGATTGAAAATTGATCAATCTTGAAGTTTGTTTAAAAAAGCATACGAAATGAAGTTATGGAATGAATATTAGTACGTTTTAATGTTTCATACACTGCGTTTCTTTGAGTAAAAAAGGAGATTACAAGTCAATTCGATAACATATTACATAGACAACAACAGGATTCGCATAAACAGGTCAAACATGCACAGGCTCCCAAGCAAAGCATTAATTCTTGACAACAGGAACGCTGGTTTCCCGCAGTTTGTTGTCCGTAGTTCACAGGCCCCATAGGCGTACCAGTGGTCCATGGAGCACCATACGCCTGATTTGGCTGATTGCCATAATAATTTGGCCGATTGTTACCATAATTGTGTGGTTGATTGGGATAATAATTTGGTGGATTACCGTAACTGTTTTGTTGACCGGCATAATAATTTGGTGGACTATCATAATTATAGTTTGGAACTTGCTGCAACGGTGGTGCGGCAGACATGTTCGGATTCTTTCAACAAAATTTTATAATGTACTTTTTCTATACTGCGAGGTGAAATAAATACTGTTCGACAAATGTATAGAACGCGCCGCGATTAGCATGTCACTTCACAAAAGTTGCAAAATAAAGTAGAAGAAAAACATTCGTCATGCAAGAAAAAATGATTGCGACAAAAATCACCCACGTTTCAAGAAAAAGAGTTCTGATACATTTTCGATTCCTTTTGCCTCAACCAAAATGTTCGAGAACGAAAAACGAGATGAAAGAAAGAGGAACAGTGTTGACAAACAAAACGGGCGCGAATAGTCAAAGTGATACGAGCGTATAAAAGAGCCGCTCACGTTCACATCCATCCTCTCTATTGATAACTAAATAATTTGATTGCTGAAATTGATGGTTCACTGGTAGTAGAAGGGTATGAGAATGGAACTATCAACCACGAACGATTTCGTTTTTACTGCAGGATTCGTCAGATGCTTTTCTATTTCCAGTATGATTCTGAAGGATGTAGCTTAAGGAAATTTCTTCGAAACGAATCTGTGAGGGTGAGGGTGGGTGAAAATATGCAACAGTGCAACAACGATATCAACCTTCATCTACAGAAGATAAGCTTACTAGTTTGGGTTGGTAGATTATGACGAACGAAAGACGTGCGATACGTTGTTTTTTTCGTGAAGATTTTTATCTTATCGCGTTAGTATCTCAACAGGTGTATAACTTTCAGCGAATGTAACTCAAAAGAGTTGCTTTTGGTGAATACTATTTCATGAGATATACAAAAATATTCGTTGTATTCGCATTTTGTCTGATAGCAAATAGCTACAATGATGAGGAATATCACAGTGTAAACTTTTACGTTTGATCGATTTTCAAGTGTTCAGATGTGTGGAGCATTTAGGGACTCGAGCTCAATCACTTGTAATTCCTTGAGAAAACGACGTCACGTAAGTGGGAAAATGTTTAAGAAACTATTAGAATACAATCGTATGTTAAAAATATTGCAAATGGCAATATCTGGAAAGGTTTTTTAGAATAATTAGCGTCCACGATATCAGCTGAATGCAAACTGAAGTTCAGATCCAATATATGGTTAATATTTTCTTTTAGAATTTGTCGGCTACTGAAACAGACCAACATGTCGATTGACGAAGAGAATGAAAGCGATGATCTTCAAACAAGGTAAGTATAATATTTATATTTCCTATCTGAAGAAACATTTTCAAAGATAGTTTGTATGTAAAGAGTGAGTGCGAGGGTGAGAGTTTCACACCGTCAGGATTCAATAGAAGTTTTTATCTTTAGGTTATTAAATATCGATGAAAACGACTTCTACGAACTGCTTGATGTTTGTCCGAACGCTACACAAACGGAAATTCGAAACGCATATAAGAAACGCGCACTTGAGTGGCATCCTGATCGTAATGTCAATAGTTCTGTGAATACTACGAAGCTTTTTCAGGCACTTCGACGGGCTTATGAAACATTATCAAGTGAAACGGGAAAAAAAGAATATGATGATACTACTGATGCAAGTCGTGATAATGATGATGAAGACGATGTAACACTTTTTGGTGCATCAGACACATCAACATTACATATGGGTCGAAAAATATCGGACACTTTTCGAGAACAAATTGATGAATATATTGCTACATACCAGAACGTAATAATCGTTGATAATTATTCTGATAAAATCAATGAAATTTTGCAAAAATTTCAAAATACTATGAAATCAAATATAGAGGTGGATCGATATATATATTGCAATACGTGTCACCAAACCAGTCTGGATAAATATCGTCATCATAAACAAAATGTTCAATCCTATGCAACATTTTTCGCCAATACTAAATCAATCCTGCTTGAAGAAGTAATTGATCCATCGATTTGGCATTGGCAATCGATCAAAACTACGACAATGTATTTATCGCTATGGAATGATTATCAGCAGTGGAATTCAGTGAAACAGATGATTGAGAAAATAGAACAGCCTGTTGAAATTATTCGTCAATCATTAAAGAATCAGTACTGGTCACGTTACATTGAGAAATATCAAAATGAAAAACAAATCCTTTCGGCATTACCAGAAAAGTTATCGTACATCAGTCCAGTGAATGTTCTACCCGATAGCAACGATACAGAACAGTTGAAATCCATATTTGATGAATACAATCGTGATGAAGAACCTGATGTCTTCACAAAGTTCAAACTTACAAGCAATGATCAACGTACAACCACTGAGAATAAGTATTGTCTTGTTGCTCCTTCAACCAAACATAAATATATCGATGTAAACGATTTCTATTTTCCCATACAAGATCCTCCATCAAGGAGAAATGATGTTTCTCATTGTCGAGAATGTGAAATACAGTTTACATTTTTTCTTCGTCGACATACATGTCGGATGTGCAGTGAACAATATTGTGCAAAATGCTTATCATTTCAAAGAATTCCACAGTTCGGCTATATTGCTAAACCTGTTCGCATTTGTGTTCAATGTTCAATAAGAAAAGAATTATTAATCTATGAGACTCTACTGACCCATACGAAACGATTGATTGAAACGAATAAAATCGAATATTTATCGAACTATTTAGCACTCGTCTATCGGTATCAAACCGCTGGTAATGAGGCATTTTATAGGCAGACAGGAGACCAGTATTATTCTCTTAAAAGATATTCATTGGCTGTTCAATGTTTCATTTATGCTGGGATCAGTGATGACGAATGGTTTCAATACGCTCAAGAATTATGTGCAATGACTGAATACACTTACGCATTTACTTGTCTTAATCAATGTCAACACAGTGAACAATTCTGGCTGAATCAAGCTAGCCAAACTAATGATGTAGCATTGATCGTTCTTTGCTATGCCAGAATAAAACTGACTATTGAGCAATTTTTCGAAATAGTCACCAAAACTGATCCAACTTACATTGATAAATGTATCTTCTTTTTATTATATATGGATTATGTATATAAGGATCATAGTTTAGATTGGAAAAATCTAGGTAGCAATTTTCTTCTGGATAGAACAAGCAGTCCAAAGTCTGGCGATCTTCTTATGTTTGTTTTTGTTCTACATGGTCAAATAACACTTGATGATTGGATTCGAATAGCTGAACAACTCAGTACAACAGAACAATTCGATAAGTTGGCTTATTTATTATCATATCTATATGATCAACGCATAGTTTTATCGGCATCGGCTGATCCATATATTTTCAATTTTACAAAAATTTTACGAACACTATCGACTAGTCCACTTATGCTCGATGATTGGTTAAATGAAGTTTGTTTATATAAAGAGATCCGTGCGATCACAACTGCATTATCGTTTATTCATGTATATCAATACACATTATGGGGAACTTATAAACAAAAATATATCAACGACAAACAATATTATAAAGTTATGATGTGTCATAAAATGGTTGAACAATTATCATCGAGTATGAATAGAAATGATATATCATGGTTCATGAATGGTATTGAAGATGAAAATTCAATGGTATTTGAATTATGCAATGGTGTTCAACGTCCCGACTGGATAGAGTTGGGCAATCGATATTTCAATGAGGAAAGATACACAATTGCATTGAATTGTTATTTGACTTGTGAAAAGGAACAAATCGATCAGATTATTCTGGAACAAGCTCAAAAGTCTTCTCCAGAATTATTATTATATTATGTCGTTGTTTATAAACGTTTAAGTGCCAAAAATTCTAAGGTATGATGAATAATCTTAAACAAACACAACGTCTGAAACAGATTTTAGTATTTACTGCATACAAGGAGACTATAGAGGTCTGTAGGATAAGAAATTTAATTCTGAAGGCATAACTTTCCATTGGATGAGTGATAATTTTCCCACCTAATCGATTTGTCTAATCAGCAGGAAAAAACGCTGTATGTTTTCATGTATATTCGTATTTAGATGCTATCCAAAGATAAGACTTCGGTATGCAACGATACATTTTACAACATCTGCAAGTTTCTATCAACACAAGGTAATGAACATGTAAAAGAACTGATTGTTTCAGCTATGAAGTCTTACGATCCTGCCGCAACACATAACATGGCTGAAAATCCGTATTTATTCAAATTCCATTTATTATTATTAAATGAAATCCAAAAGATGAACGCCGATCGTCAGTACGATGATCTAATTAATGGTGGTGTTCATACACTAATGTCACTTGAAAACAAAGCTGCTGAATCTACAAAAACACTGATTGCAATGCAGAAACCTTTATTGGAAAAAATTAATTCGGAAGTCTACAATGAATTGAAAGCAGCAACATATAAATCTTGTCAAGAGATGATTGATATTCTTCTTGATTCGAACAATTATTTTCCAGAACAATTAGAAAATGTCTATCACCAATGTCTTGGACGACTTAAACTTGACGAACTTCAACCATTAGAATATCGTGCAAAGATGTATTTAATTCGAGCAATGATTTATAAATTAGCAAACAAGCCGATTGAATCATCACAAATGATTCATCAGGCATTACTTACGCATCCTTATGAGGATTTAATCCATAGTATCATTACATTTGTTAACCATTCACATTTTCATTCGACATTACAAGCTGCATTGATTGATGGTCTTGCACAAAATTCATTCAGTTTAGCAGATATCAATCCGCCGACTCTATCTATGAATTTAACGTTTCTACGATCTACAGATCGATTACGAACTGTCAGAAGATATGAACGAGCAATTCTAAAACGTCTTGCAGACAAAGATCCATTACAAGCAGCGATGTCTTACATTGACTTAAATATGGCAACAGACGGTGATTCAACTTCGTACACGTCGAATTTAATCTTAGCTTGTCTTTATCTGTATAAAGCCATGACACTTCCAAACAAATCCATGGCAGAAATTTATGCATATCGTTCAGTACTGTGTGATATATTAGTACAATTATTTGTCTTAGCTCGAAGTTATTTGCCCTTATATGCACAAATGCATCTATATACAATTTCATTAACTTTGCTTTTACGTTCGAATGAATTATTCAAAAGCCATTTCACTAAATCTACTCTCGTACTTCCAAAACCTCAAAGTACTGATGAGTTAATCATTGGTAATTGTTATGAAACATTGATTGAAGAAATTATGAAGAATATCGTTCAAATTTCCAAAGTAACACCGTTTACTCATGTACCGATCAGCACTACATATGATATGATTTATTTAAATTATGCTGGAGATGAGTTCTTATCGACTTACTTAAAACAAATGACGAGTAAAAATTCGATGTATCAATATTATTTCTTTGAGGGTATTTGGAAAGGTTGGATACGTGATGAAGAATTTGAAGAAGAACGCATCCAATGTATGTATGCTTTATTAGATGAACGCCATTTTAATATGAATGATGTGGAAAATCTACTCAATTGGTTACTTTTACCACGAACAGTTGATGGATGGTTATGGAGTGGAAAACATCGATTACAATTGAGTGAATCATCGTATTCTCGCGTTGCTGGAATTATACTCAATAGCGATACAGGTGATATCGATTTCTTATTCAAAGAAGCAACGAATACAGAACATCATCTCTTCGATATGAATGATGTTGTTGATATTCTCACTAATGGTATTGTGCACGCCGCTTTCACCTTGGATCCGCCTAGCTTAGATTATCATTCGCATCCTTTCAATGAAATGAAATATATTCCTAGACGTTTATCATCTTCATCGAATTATTTGTCCACTCTATTACACGCTGATTATTTATTAAAAATGTTTTCAACAGCGACGGAAATTTGTGGTCAAAGTCCATTTGAAATGCGCTCTGCAGATGTAGCTCTAATGTCTCGTTTACCAGCACATATTCGCGATAAGTTTAAAGCGATTCTTGAGCAGAAAAATCAAGGTCTTCACGGTGATGTAATTCATCGGTATTGGATTCAAGCTGGTATAGTTTCTATTAAAGAAACCTTTCATCGTGGTTTCTTTGGTTTAGGACGCACTAATGAAAATATTCTCAAAATTTACATTGCCGATGATTTGAAAATGTCTGTGAGAAAGCATCGAATGAGATACGATGAAAGAGGAAATTTAATTGATGATAAAGATGACCTGGAAAATGATCAATCACCTGAAGCGGAGTTTGCACGAACTTTTACAAAATATTATGATGACATTGGAGAATATTTTCCCGAATTATTACGTTTAAAAGAACTGCTCAAATTGGGCGCTTTATCATTATTTCTACAAGAGCGATATGCACAAATGAACGCTTTTATTTCTGCTGTAGAAAATGATACCAAATTGAACGAAGCTCTTACTGGAATTAGGCACGAACTGGGTCAATATCCGACTTACAATCAAAAAATAGATGATGAAATTGTTGCAACGTTGTCAAATAGATTGTGTAAAGAATTTTTTTGCAGAAAAAATGATTTAAAATCGTATATTATTCATTATTTAACATATGGAAATCAACGTGAATTAATCAAATTTCTCAAACAATCATTAATACAACATAAAACGAAATTAAAAACAACAATGGATAAATTAAAAATTTACATTCAATCAGATCATCTGGAGGATCATGATAATGACAAAGAAGGATTTTCAAATGATCCATCACAATGTGCATGGGTACCTGCCGTATTTTCTAATAGGGAAATGAGTCGTATTCGAGTTTATGGAGGAGTGAATAATATTCTAGATATTCGCAAAGTGGAAAATATTGATCCAATGAAATCAATCAAAACTGTTAACGCACAGAAATCATTCGAGAAAAGTATACAAAAACGATCACAATCCAATAATAATAATCAACAACGAATGGGTAATTATGTTTACTATTTAAAACGTGAACTTGGTAATAAAATATCAATTATGTTTTGTTTATTGTAGTTTCTACGGGACCAGGAGGACCTCGTACTGCTGATGGAGGTAAAGATGGTGGGCGTAATGGCAAAGGAAAAGATATGTCATCCATAAAACAAGCAAGTACAAATCAATTTCAAAAGGCTATTGAAGCTGGTAAATTACCAAAGATTTTCGATCGTGTTGACAAGGGCAATCCGAATCATGGTGAGAAAGATCACGTACATTTCAAAAATAAAGGTGCCTTAAATAAAGATGGTACATGGAAGCATAAACCAAAGGTTGAAGATATTTCAAAAATATTCACAGCCGAAGTCAAGAAACTGTTGCTAAAGCACGGATGGACGTTACCAGAAGGAGTGGATCCTCCTTAAATATACTGACGGCTACACTATTTCATGATTCACTCTATGAACTACTGTAAATGAACGTTCTTTTTTTTAATTTTATACTAATATGTAATTGTTTGGAAGTCTTGAGGGTGAGGGTAAGTCCAAAGAAAAGTATTATCTTAATCTTTCTCAACTTCAACAATTTACAAGCTAACATATCTCAGTTTTATCATCGAATAACTTTGCTTATATCAAGAATACCTTCGTTAAGCTTCAGCAGAAATATGTCGTAGTCCGATAGAACGGCTGATGGAAATATTGAGTTTATGTAATTTATTCTACACTCAAGATGTTCACATCCTCTAGTTCTTGTATCTCCTTCCATACTGATTCAGCTGCTTGGTGAATCACTTTTTTCAAACGTTCGAATTCATTTTCGTGAGCAACTTTTAATACAGCGCGAGTCTCGTCCTTGAACCATGATACAATTTTATACAGATCCAGAATCTTCGCCAGAATCTCATACTGCTCTAGATGATATTGTTGTATGAAGTCAAGAGCGGCACAGTTGCTTGAGCGAACACAAACTGAAAAAGGATGGAAGGATGGAGTGAGTTTCACTGGATATTTCTTGCTAATTTCTTCGATTCTCTTGTCAGTTAGTGTAAAGGGTTCTTCTCTAAAATGCCAATGGATACTATCATAAACACACATCCATGGAGAATAACTATATTGGTCTTGTTCGCCCTTGCATGCAATCAAAAAGAAAGTTGTTCCACCATTGACATATGTTAAGTGTTTGTACCAACTGTGTAATGTTGAGAATCGAACGATGTCTTTATCGAGATCATGACGACTGTAATTGACATATTGTTTGATTAATTTTCGAAAGCGTTGACTGCAATAAAAAAACGAGTGAAAATTTTGTGCTGGTTGTAAATATGTGAAAACATCAATAATTAATTCATTGGGTAAGTGCTCGAATGTTGAAATGTTTGCCATGATGTATGCGTAAGTCGTCAAGTGACGCATCGAAATTACACATTGTGATGAAATATGAAGCAAAAATAGAAATGATGTGAGGGTGCTGGATCTCATATAGTTTGACATACTTCCGATAGATATTTTCGATGAAAGTGAATATGTTCATCAAATTGGTTACCGAAATTATTGAACAACTAATTAAAAGATTGACGCAAAAGGATTCTAATCAATGATTTTGATAAAAACTTCGGGACAAAACATACAATCTACCTATTAGAGCAAAATCAAATGGCGCTCCACACGCAGTTCATATTTCAAAACATATGTACACTTTTTCGTCATCGTTAAAAATAAGCAAATGTGTAATGTTTGAACGAAATGAGAAAAAAATCAAAAAGCATGAACAAGAATGTCTCGAGAGAACATGAAACTTGTGCAATGATCTATTATGCAAACTTTTCTAAACTTGTAGTAAAATATTCATCTTCGTACAATGTTTTCCATTATCTTTCTTCTATTTAATATAAATGATGATGTGTATTTATGAGCCCGATAAATGTGAGAAGTGTGATACAAAATTCATCTCTTGTGTGATGAACTGCGTATTTCTTTTGGGTATGATGATGTCTTGTGCTATCTGCACAGACGCAATAAAATAGAACAAAGAGAGAAAATGAAAGTACTCGATAAGGACATTACATTGGTGAAGTATACAGGTGAATAATCGCTACACTGTGAGGTTTTTTTTTCGTTTCATACAGAACACTTTTTACAAATCTTTAAATTGGTTTTATTATAAATATAATTTACATGTTCTATGTAATTTGTGAAAATGAGAATGAATATCATTTTGCTTTGCACAATGGATATGAAATAAGCAAATCATGTGAATTCTTTCAAAAACATAAATCTTATCTTCGTAAGATATTAATTTTAATCAAAAGTTATGTCATACTTTGAAAGCATTGCTATTCTACAAATTTCATTGATCAATAGAGAATTATCCAATATTAATAATTTATTGAGGAAGAAATTTTATAATAATATTATCAATAAAATAGAATAAACATATAAGATTTTGACAAAAGCAGCAGAAATTCTAAATATATTTCAATTGAAGAAAAAATTCCAGAAGTAAACGATAACGAATTACGATAAATTCCAAAATATTTAGACAGAGTAGATAATCACGATACATTTGAAAATTTCTATCATATTATTACATCTAATAAATATGTTCGATGGATTTGTGTTAATCATTATAATAAATAACATTTAAATAGTAGAATTTAACGATTAGATGGAAATATAAAAGATAATATTGTTTTCATCTATAAATAAATTAAATCAAAGATTAACATTCAGTACAATAAATATATAAAATATTAAAAAATTTATTTTTCAAATTTCTCAATATTATTTCACGTGAAAATATAATTGATAAACTTAAATTAGAAAACATTTTTATAAGGAATTTTCTAGACAATATATCAACAAAAGATATGATTTCACAACTTAATGATACATTTCAAAGTTATTTAACAAACAAATTCACAATTCATATTCAAAATTCGACTTGTAGAAAAAACATATTCATTAAAATTATTTGGAATAAATGAAAATATCAACATTTAATTTATTTGAGATAATTCTTTCCGAAAATCTCTCAAATATTATTCGTCATTTTATTATAAAATAATGAAACTTTAGAAGAAATGACTATAGATTGTCGTGTAATATTAAATCAAACCAAAGAATGAATATTATTCATTTGAGAAAAATCCAAGTTTAAAAATATTACATATAACAAATTCACAAACGAATGTTTCGAAAGAAATTTTCAAAATGTTGAAATATAAAACAAAAACTCTGGAAGAATTTTGATTGACTTATTATTTTAAAATTGATTTTATTTCTATATTATCAATAAATGTTGATTCAATATTGATTAAATCTGTTCAATGGTGTATTAATGAAAATAAAGATTGAAATCATAACAAACTTTCTCCAAATCATCTCGATTTATCAACTAATATTAGATTTGGTAAATATTAATTACGAAACATCGTTTAAATAGTGAGTAGAAATTATTAATCAATTATTGTCATTAAAAAAATCTTAAACTCAAAAATAAGATTAGGTACGCAATTTTTCATCAAGAAAAACGAATTTTCAAAAGAAAAAAGTAACGTATTTGAATTAGTATTGCCTTCTGTACTAATTAGAAAACCTTCTACGCGTAAAAGACTCAAAAATTCTCTATCATTTCTTAATTGTGTTATAGTCGGAAATATTGTCGTTCTTCTCAAAAAGAAACTATTAAATCTCTCCAATCTCTGAAAGAAGAAAGATCTGTTAAATCTTTTTCTCAAGTTTCTTTATATTCACTTTATAAATATACATATGAAATTACATTAAACTCTACAATAAAAGAATTCTATTATACTCTTGATATGGATATAAGTCATTTTGTTTTCAGTATAGAATCAAATTCAACAGTAACTGATCTACAATTTGTTGGACAAATACAAGAGAATTATATGATAAGATTAATTAAATCTTTCTATGAAAGTAAGATAACATTTCATTTATCTTGATCTTAAAATGATATAAGTATAACTAAAACTATTGCTATCTATTCATATGTACATCTGGATAAACAGTGAAACGCATTAGAAATTCAGCGCTCATATTATAAGTCGAATAAGACAGTCACTCAGAATCAGCGGATAGATTTCTTTAATTTCCATTAATTGTATTTCGAGTAAAAGTTCTGCATATTATAGATGGGAAGAATAGAATCAATGTTTCATTCTCTCTTCGATTCTAATTACGGATTGAAAGATATTCAAATATCACATAGTATAGCAAAACGAAAAAGTGATTGATCATCTTTTCTTTTTCTTATTTCTGTTGAGTTAAATTAATAGTCTTCTCATATATGACATGTATTGTTGGAATCTGTCAGGTTCAACCGTATATTTTATCATTAAACACTATGTGAACTACTCGAGTCAATTCTTCGTCCTGATAGATTTTCAATAGTCGTTAGGAAATAAATTATTTAAACTTACATGTAAATGAACAATGAATGATCGAACGGTGCACGTGAACAAAAGTGAGAAATAGTTTCTACTGTTTAATTTTACGATTGAATATTAGAATTAAAATTTTTGCTTTCTTTTCTGGTTGACGATAAATATCAGATATTAAAAATATGTTTTTTATTTGAATAAATATGAAGTCAGATGATATAATGTTGGTAAACAACTTTTCATTTATTAAATGTGTGCATCTTGTTTTAGATTCTAATGATCCAAATAAGAATTTTTAAACTCTTATTTTTTCTTTAAAGAAACAAATTATCAATGTAAAATTTGTCTCTTATGTATTTATTTTTCGTTATTATAAAATAGTTTTTAGGTAAAGAAATTGAGAATAAATAATTAATTAACATAAATAAAAAACCAATAATTATAGTCAGAAAAGTCTACTGTATCCTGTTCGTTTCGAGATTAACGGGTGGGCCATAAAGAATTGCCCTCTTAGTATTTTTAAATTTTCTCCTCTATTATTCGTGCGATTAAAATCTATTTTTTTATCAAAAGATAGCGCATGAAATTCTGCACAAGATGATATATCTTATTTATCGAATATAGTTTCCTCCATTCTTTTGGATTAAACATAATCGTACAGTAAAATCAAGTACAGAATGTAAAATTTTTTCTTTTTTAATTTTTTTGACAGAACGTTTTATTCCGTCTATTAATGTTGCTTTTGTTGTTATGTTCTTCCAATCCATAGATTTAGCTAATTCATTCCATAAACTGTAATCTAACGGACATAAATCAGGCGAATTCGGTGGCCAACGATCCTTTGAAATAAAATCAGGAAAATGATCAGCACACCATTTTTTACTTGAGTGATGTGTATGAGGTTTGGCTCCGTCCTGCTGATAAGTCCATTTGTTTCCTAGCATTTTGTTACCATGTTTTAAAGCAATTGGAAGAACGTCATTGATGTATCTTTCTGCATCCATCGTTCCATTCTCCAAAATCACCGGTACCGTCAGACCTTCAGCACATACACCCAACCACACCATCACCTTAACTGGAAATTTTGTTTTTTGATGCATACCACCTTGTTTATCTACTTCTTCCCTACTGACCACCCATATGCGGTCGTTCTGAACATTGTATACACTATCTAGATCAAAATATTTTTCATCAGTAAAAAGCCATTTTTTGGTGTCTTCTTTTGTATAGTTGTTTAACACCCAATTGGCAAATTTAACCCTTTTTCTTTTTTGAAGATCAGTCAATTTTGGTTGTTTTATTTTTTGATATGGAAAATAATCAAGGTCTTCACGTAATATTCGTCGTGCATTTGTTCTTGAAATACGCAGTTTAGAAGCTAATAATCTTGATGACACNATATTGTTAAATAACAAAAGTGATGTACAGGAATGTAAAAGAAATTTGTAAGAACAAAAGAGAACATGTACGAATAAGTGAAGGTCTCTGTTAATACTTTAAAAAAAATAATTCGAATGGTATACCGTGTGTATAAATGAAGAAAAATTATCTGTAAAAACATTTAATAAGATAAACATATTATCAAAACATTGATTAATCACGTTTGATATATTATTTTTTCATTTATCAAAAAACTAAATCACCTTCACTAAAAACTGCAAAAATATATTAAATTTCATTCGATGGGCTCTTATGTTAATTCTTTTTATAGCTAGTATAGCAAATCAAACAATATCCGATGAAGATACTCAAAATATATGGATTGAAATTATTTCTCAGGCTCTCAATTGTATGTTATATCAAACAAAGTAACGTAACCGTTATTTGGTCAAAATCATTTGAATTGGGATATTCTGTTGAGAATCACATTATCAATACAATGTTTGTTATCGTTATCGCTGTTTGTCTGTGGTTTGTTGATTAATAGACACGATAGACCAACTTGAGTCACAGATAGTTTTTGTTGGATTTGTAATATTTATTGATGTAGCATGTACTATCATTGAATTCATTGTTGAAAGACGAGCAGAAAATATCGCGAAACATAAACAAATTCAATCATATTTCTAATTTCATAAGTATTGTTATTTATTCTCTTTCTCAAAGAAAGAAGGCTGAGATATATCAATTGTTTACTTGATTATGTGTCCACATATACTCTCATGATTTCTTTGATCCATAAATAAATGTGAAAACCTCGGATTTTATCGAAAGGTTTCATGCGCAGCAAAAAGTTTATGAGAAAAGTCAATTTCTTTACAATGACTTACGAAAGACTCGTCCTTGTCACATCCTAAGAGACAGAATGAGGACACGTTCAACGCTGTAGAGATAGTCCTTTAATGCGTTCAAACATAAATTTTACTCAAGTTTTGATGAAGATCGATCGATCGTCATTTTTTGGGTTTTTGAAATTCAAATAACATTTTAGTTTTGTCTTCATTATTTGTATTGTAAATAATTACACTTTCATCCTCAAACGGAATGAAATTAAACTTTTATTATAATAACTCGATGTGTTTTAAAGTTCAATTTTCACAAAAATATCAAGACAGATCTGATAATAAAAAATTCTATTTACACTCTTTTGTCCCTAAAGATCAAATTTACCGAAATTAATTAAGAAAAATAAAAAAAGATATGATATTACTTCCCACTTATTTTCCTTTAATGAAAAATATTTATTTAGTATATCATCATCTTTTCTTGTTCTGTTGTAGAATGAAAAATGATTGTATCAGTCACATGTAATGATACATATTCTTCTTTTTTTCTTTGCATTTTGATCAATAACACATGCAATTAATGAGACATGCATGACTTACACTTAAGTACTCTCACCTCTTATTGTAAAATCACGAATCCTGAGTACTCTTTTTTTCTCCGATAAAATCACAACTCATGATTTTCCTACCGCACAACCTTACTAAATGATAGTATAAAAGTACTGGTAAATTTCATTTGAAATACAGTATAGAATAGCTGTTTCCTTCGTATAATTCTCTTCGTCAATCTCATTTTCTTTCAATTTATTATTTAAAAGAAATAACTCTCATGAATTATTATTTGTAATTGATGTAGAACCATGCTTTTTTTTTACAATAATTCTCCTCTTTCACTAACATTACTATTTACACTATTTTTCATAAACAGAGATTATGATCAATGAGTTTATATTATGACTTTTTTGTTTTCATTTATAGATTATATCTATTGGTTATCAAAAATGTTAATAGGCTCTGTGCAAGCAGCATTTTTAACTTTTGCTGCCATTCTTATTCAA